GAAGGAAGGAAGGAAGGAAGGAAGGAAGGAAGGAAGGAAGGAAGGAAGGCATTTGGGTTCTAGGGCTGCCTGAGCTACACAGCCAGGTCCCATCTCAAAATATGGGATTAGAAGGGAAGAGAGGGTAGGGGGAGGAACAGGAAGGGGAAAGGAGGGAGGGAAGGGGAAGGAGAAGAGAGAGGAGCAGAAAGGGAACCCCAGGACAAACAGCTGTCTCCAGAACCTTCCGGTGATTATGAGCTGGTTCCAGCCAGGACTCCCTTTAACCTCAACTAGTCAGACTTTGGGGGGGGGGCAGGGCAAAGTGTTAAAGTAAATTAAGTTTGGTCTAAAGGTTTCTGTACAGTGAACTGTAACCTAACTTGCTATGTACACAGACTGTAACCTATTCTTATAATAGGTAGCCGAGTGTTAGCCAATCACAACTGGCCAGCTGTTCAGACCATGTTCACATGAACCGCCACAAAGCAATCAGGCCGTCTCTACCGCACTCCTTTTCTATATGTCACTTTCTCTGATTATGAACTAAGCCTGTCTGTGTAGAACTTTTACTCTGTTTTATTTTTGTTGTTGCTGTTTTCTGAGAGAAAGTCTCCCTATGTAGTCCAGTCTGATAATGACCTCACGATCCTCCTCCTCCACCTCCCACACGCTCAGCTTGCACACGGTTTCCACCATGACTACCTACAGAACTCTGAATTGTTCCTGGTCCAGACTGCTGCCTAATTCTATCACTATAAATGAGCCAATTAAGAGCTGCAAAATCAGGGGCCAGGGAGGTAGCTCAGTCAAGTGCTCGCTTTGCAAGCCTGAGGGCTGAGCTCTATCTCTAGAACCCAAGTTAAAAAGCTGGGCATGGTGATGCACATTTATACTTCCAGCACTGGAAAGGCAGAGACGGCAGATCCCTGAGACTTGCTCCTAGCCAGTCCAGCACTATTTTGTAGACTCCAGCTAAGTGTGCAACCCTGTCTCAAAAACAAGGTAGATGGGCTGGAGAGGTGGCTCAGCAGTTAAGAACACTGGCTTGTGGTTGAATTCCCAGTACCCACATAGAGGCTAACAAACATCTGTAACTCTAGTTCCAGAGGAATCCAATGCCCTTTTCTGACTTCTGCAGGTATTGCAAGGCATGGGTGCAGGTGAACACACACACACACACACACACACACACACATATACAGGCAATACATTCATATATATAAAATAAAAATAATAAATAAGATATTTTTAAAAACGGTGGATGGCACCTGGGGAGCAACATCTGAGGTTGACCGCTGACATCCACACGCATGGGCACACACAGGTGCACATGCACGCCCATATCAGCACACACACACAAAAGATATGCAAAGTTGAATATGCTGTCATCTTTCAACAAGACTAAATGGCTCAGTGGTTGAAACTCCAGTAGGAGTCCAGCTGGTTGGGCCCCCATCAACTCTGACTTCATGATCTACAAGGAACCTGACCCAACCTCTTTGTATTTGATTTTGTATACAGGCATCCTTAGCTTACAGGATTGACAGGTGGAGTGCTACATAGTAAGTGCTCAATAAATCACTTCCATCACAGCTGCTGCTAATTGACTGAAATGAGAATTTGACTCAGGGCAATTTTGTGCAGTAATCTTTCAGGGCCTTCCCAGCCCTGTTGAGTTCCTGAACCACCCTCATACCATCTGGAAGGCAATGCTTTTAGCACGTCCTTATAAAGGAGCTCTGGTCTCGTGACTTGATCCTGAGATACTGTGTGTGAGGAAGATAAATGGACAGATTCAAGGCAGTGTGGAGTCTGTGCCAAGGCAGAGGGGACAGGAGAACAGCACCTGCTCCAACGGGTCATATGTTTCAGAAGTCCCTCCCACTTTTATTCTCTAGCCCATCACCCTTTTAATAAACCCAGGGCCTTAATAATCTTCTTTCCCTCCATTGAACTTTGCTCTCTGGTCATTTAAACTACTATGTGAACAACTGCCACTTATTCCTCTCCCAAGGTCACCTTCTTTAAGTATCACTTCTAATTGAGAAGGAAAGACTTCACCCACCATAACAGGAACTCAGCCAGTAAGTGAAACAGTGATCTCATCAGAAATGGGTAAGGAAAAAGGCAGGGGTCCAGGGCCACTAAACATCCACAGGCAGTTAGCTGGTGTCACGCCAGGCCTCCCGGGATAGCCACACACTTTCCCAGTGTCTCTTTGAAGCTAAATTTACATCAATTGAACCACGCTTTATAGCTGATATGATTAAACCCAGGTGAGTTTAATCTAAGTTAGTCTTCTGTGTGAAGAATTCTTTTGCAAAACTGCTCATTCTTTGTAACTGTGCGTGTGTTTGACGGAAGTAGAGTTTTCTCTGTAAACCTTACTCACAGACGTTACTTCCTAGACTCTATCAATCTGCTCTAAGCTGACCTCCTAAAATGCCTGCTTGCAGCTGGGACTCTGTTTTTCCAAGCGGCCGGCCACACTGCCAGGTGTCAGCCAAGTTGCAATCTACACTCTCCTACCTTTCTTCGCCCCATGTTCAAGCCTCTCTTCTCCCCTGAAGAGTCCCGAATCCTCTGGACTCATCTCTGTCTCTCTGGCTAGGTTTCCTACAATCAATTGTTCTAAGAAACTCCACCAACTGATTATCCCTCAGAGACTTTTGGTACAGGCAAACACCCTCCAAGAGTTGATCTCATCCTCTCTCTTTGACCCTGCAGCTCACTGCTGTGTTCTGTCTGCACTTAATAGCAACAACACATGATTCGGTCCACCTCCCACCTGTCTCCCCTCCCCCCACCCAACAGCTCCAAATGCAGTGACCTCTCCAGGTTATCATGGAAAAGCCCTTCTTTGCTGCTGTTGCAAACTCTACTTAGTTGTTACCTGCTTGAAATATTTCCCTGCAGAGTCTCTCTCGCTTTCTCCCTCCCTCCCTCCTTCCCCCCTCTCTCTTTCTCTGTGTGTGTGTGTGTGTGTGCCTCCTCTCCTCTCTTCTCTCTTCTCTCCTCCCCTCCTAAAACTTGACTTCATGTTCATTACTGGATGGACGTGCATAGGCTTCATGTGTCTGTCAGTCTACACACTGCATGTGCTTTGAATACCTGCCTCATATATCTCAGAATCAGGTTGGGGAGGGCATGATGGAGCCAGGCTGCCCTGAGCAAGATGGCATTGTAACCTTGATAAGCTATGATACACAGGGTCTACAGGAAGCTGGGTTAGAATTCGGGTCTGCTCTGATACTGCGGGGGCTTATCGAATCTTTGACCTCTCTGATTCAGTAGAAGCCCCTGTCCTTGACAACCAGTCTGAAGTCAGAGCCTAAGTAAGCTGGAGTTCTTGCCTCACAACCTCAGGGAAATAGTTTATGTTTAAGGAATGATGATCTGGTACAATTGTCTACATTGCATCACCCCACTGTCCCCCATCTGACACAGAGGGTGGCTCTGATGGAAAGTGACAAGGTGCGCATTGTTTCCAATACTGCACGTGGCCCACAATGGACAGGAGCTTGAAAAGTCTTCTAGAAAAAAGCAAGAAGGAACAGACTTGTCCCCAGCTGTTCATGGCCATCTGAGCAGGGATGAGGCTAGAGGAAGAGAACTTCCTCTGTGTACATGAGAAGGAGCTGTCTACTGTCACACGTGACCTCAGGCAAGCCCACAGCTTCTTATGGGAGTGCAGGGGAAGGTAGTCTCAAAGAGGCCCTTCATGCAGAGCCTGGGATGCCTCAAGACCCACACCATCACTCAGGAAACATCTCTGGCTAAAGCTCAGTCATTCGCATCCAGCCTCATACCCTTTTCACTGTCCCCTCACCCAGCCCGTCTTCCTGTAGCTGTCTCATGTCTCATCCCTCTCCTAGCCCTACCAAAGCCCTCTCCTGCAAAGCTCAGTCATTCGCATCCAGCCTCATACCCTTTTAAACACTGTCCCCTCACCCAGCCCGTCTTCCTGTAGCTGTCTCATGTCTCATCCCTCTCCTAGCCCTACCAAAGCCCTCTCCTGCCCTGCCCTGTGTGTGCGCATCCTGCCAGTGTTTTCCACCT